CTTCACCCCAATCAGCATCACAATAGCCAACAACCTCAGTGCTTTTGTTACACGCCATCCACACGCCTTGACCAGGGGCTTCCCGTAAGTATCTTAGAATCCTCTCCACCATGTTCCAGTGATGAATCTTGGGTGTTTGCATATGCTGGCTAACTTGATTCACAGCAAAACACACACCTGGTCTTGTAATGGTTAAGTAAATCAGCTTCCCAACCATCCTCCTATACCTCTTGACGTCTTCAAATGGAGTGTTCTCATACTCCCCCTCACGCAATACCTTGTAGTTCTCTTCCAATGGTGTCTTGGCTTTCTTTCCTCCAAGGTCTCCTGCCTCCTTTAAAATATCCAGAGTATATTTTCTTTGAGATAGGAACAGNGTTCTCATACTCCCCCTCACGCAATACCTTGTAGTTCTCTTCCAATGGTGTCTTGGCTTTCTTTCCTCCAAGGTCTCCTGCCTCCTTTAAAATATCCAGAGTATATTTTCTTTGAGATAGGAACAGTCCCTCCTTTGATCTACACATCTCAATGCCAAGAAAGTATCTCAGCTCTCCTAGATCTTTTATATCAAATGCATCCTTGAGGAATGACTTGGTTGAGATGATTCCTTCTTTATTACTATCAGTGATAATAATGTCATCCACATAGACAAGAATTACCACTATCCCTTGCTTGTTGGTCAGTGTGAAAAGAGTGTGATCAGCTTGAGACTTCACAAATCCTTTCCCATTGAGTGTTGTACTTAGCTTGTGATATCAGGCTCTTGGTGATTGTTTCAAGCCATAGATTGCTTTCTTGAATCTAATATCATTCCCTGGTTTAACCATATCTTCTCTACCAGGAGGTGGTCTCATATACACTTCATCTTCTAGTTCTCCTTGCATGAATGCATTCTTTACATCCATTTGCCATAGATCCCATTCAAGATTCACAGCTAGAGAGAGCAGAATCCTGATGGTATGGAGCTTGGCTACTGGTGCAAATGTGTCTAGATAGTCCTCACCATAGACTTGAGTATGTCCTCTTGCAACAAGCCTTGTCTTCTTCCTTTCTGGTTTCCCATTAGCTTCATACTTAATAGTATACAACAGGCGACTTGTCACAGCTTTCTTGCCTCTGGGGAGCTCAGTTTCATACCAAGTATCATTCTTGATCATAGCCCCAATTTCATCTCCAACTGATTCTCTCCATTCATCATGCTTCATAGCTTCTTCATAGGTCTTTGGAACATAATCTTGATCCAAGTTGGTGATGAAGGCCATATGCTCTTGTGGATAGCTTGCAAGTGTGCAGGTTGCTTGGATATGATGAGCCACTGCATTGCTGTTAAAGAATACTCTGGTGTTCCTCACTCTAGTACTCCTTCTTAGCTGCTGAGTCTGCTCTTCTACCACTGGTCCTTCATGCCCTTGATCTCCACTAACATCATCATGTGTTGGTGCAGAACCTGAATCATTTTCAGCTCCATCTTGATCATGTGTTGATGCTGAATCATTTTCTGGTAATGATTCATGCTCACTGCTCCCCTCAGGATCAGGATGGACTGGCTCAAGGCTTGGTTCTTCTACAGCAGCTGGTGGCAAAGGAGAGGTACAAGATTCTTCATGGCCCCTAGGCTGAGTGATGCCAAGGCTCTCCATAATGGTTCTCAGGTTGTTTGCTCTATCGGATGGTCCATGTGAGAGATCTTTAAGGTCTTCCCAATTCTTCTCATCATAGTATCCTTTGGATTCTACAAACTTCACATCCCTGGATACCATCACCCTTCTTGAATCTGGTAGGTAACACTTATATCCCTTCTGCGTGTGTGAGTACCCAATGAACATGGCTTTGATACTCTTAGGTTCAAGCTTGTTCCTTTGTTCTCCTGGAACCAGCACAAAACACACACCCCCAAACACACGTAAATGATCTATAGGAGGCTTAGTCTTATTTAATACCTGAAATGGAGAGGCATCTTTGAGGACTTTGGTTGGGATTCTGTTGATAAGATAGCATGCAGAGACCACAACATCTCCCCAAAATCTCTTTGGAACATTGGTGTGGAACATCATGCTTCTTGCAACCTCCATAAGATGTCTATTCTTCCTCTCAGCCACTCCATTTTGTTGTGGTGTGTAAGGGCAGCTTGTTTGATGAGTGATCCCATGTTTTGCTAAGTGTTGTTTGAAGGCATGGCTAGTATACTCCCCTCCATTATCTGACCTAATAATTTTGATCTTAGAATTAAAATTGTTAGCCACATAGTTTTGGAAGTTTATAAAAGCTTCTAAACTCTATCTTTACTTTGAATCAGTGTGAGCCATGTATATTTCGATTTCTCATCTATGAAGGTTCCAAATATGTATGATTTTCTCTAGAAACACATGGGGCTGTCCAAACATCAGAGTGTACTAGATCAAAGCAGTTCTCATAAATAGTCATAGATGAGGGAAATACAGATTTATGGTGTTTACCAAGAATGCATGCCTCACAAGTTTTATTTTGCAAAGATAAACTAGGTAACATTAATTTTAAAGCATTGAAATGAGGGTGTCCTAATCTAGCATGCCATAACACATCATTAGCTAAAAACAAAAGCAGAATTAAAAGCATAAGTAGAATCTGATCCAAGCTTGGTATCTTCAAGGAAATAAAGCTCTCCTTTGCTCACACCTTTGCCCAGCATCTTACTGATCTTAATATCCTGAAAGCACACATCATTAGGACTAAAAATAACCTTGCAATTTAGATCATTAGTTGCCTTTTTTACAGATATAAGATTAGAAGCAAAGGCAGGCATATAAAAGGTTTGAGATTCTTTATTAAACAGGTTCAGATTTCCTACTCCTTCTATTGGGATTCTATCACCATTTGCAATCTTAACACTTCCTAGAGCTGGTTTAATATCATTAATTAGTCTAGCATCCCTAACATATGGTGAGAAGCTCCTGAATCAATGATTAATGGTCTAGCAGTGTAAGGTGCAGTGTGAATAGAATTTAAAGCATTAACACTTAGGTTACCAGAGTTTGCATTGAGAGCCTTGATCAAGGCCTCAATGTCTGACTTGCGGATGTATCCATCCTCATTAGATGACTGAGACATGGCGTGAGATGTTGAACCGCCAATGTGAGTTGTAGAGATCAAAGCTCTACCATCATCTCCCATGCGTATGGTGTTTGGTGTTGAGTGTTCCTGAGCTCTTGCTTCATGGGCTTTGGCTTGGCCATACTTGTTTGCTGAGGCTGGTCTGAGATGAGGGTGGAGGATCCAGCAGTTGGTCTTGGAGTGTCCTTGCTTCTTACAATGCTCACAAGTTACTGACTTGTCTGGTCCTCCCCTTGGTTTGAAATAAACCTTGTTGGCTGATGCTTTCTCTATTTTTTCAGACTTGTGTGCCATGGAAAGTTCTCCTTTTCCACCACCAAAGAGACCATCTGAGCCTATCTCCTTCTGAAGTTGAGCACACACCTCATCATAGCATGGGAGCTCCTTGTCTCGCAATATATGCTTTACCACATCATTGAAGCCTGAACTAAGTGTGAGAAGCAGTCCAAATACCTTATCCTGCTCACGCCTAGCTTCAAGAGTATCAGGGTCATTTGTGCTTGGTCTTAACATCTCTAGCTCAGACCACAGCTGACTATACTTCCCAAGATGCTTGGTGAAGTCTCCATCCTCCTGTTGTAAGTTGTTTATGGCTCTCTTTACTTCAAATATCCTGGTGAGGTTTGAAGTGTTGCCATACACCTTGTGTAAGGTATCCCACAACTGTTTTGGTGTGGTACAGTGTGAGTATGAATCCATAATAGAATCATCAAGAGAGCTTTGCAAGATAGACAACACCATGAGATCTTCCTGAGCCCATTTGCCTTCATCTACCACTACAACCTCCTTGCCATCATTTCCTTGGGTGATTTTCTTTGGAGCTGAACTTGAAATGACATGCTCCCAAAGACCTCTTCCTCCAAGGGCTGTCTTAGCAATTCTAGACCAGGTAATGTAGTTTCCTGATCCCTTTAGCTTGACTGGAATATCGATTGCTCTGTACTGCTCCATCTCTCTCACTTAGGCGCCAAGAATTTTTTTTTTTTTTTTTTTTTTTTTTTGATAAATTCAAGACTGGATTTGAGAAAGTTTAACTCTGGAACAAGATAAACTCTCCAGAATTAATGAGAAAGACAGAATAGAGTAGGCACACCAACAATATTTGAGAAATAACTCAAGAACTCTCAAGAACTCAAGAACTCAAGAACTCTCAAGAACACAGATTTGAAATTCTGTGAAGAAATAAGTTAAAACAGGGAAGTAATAGAGTGTAAGTAACAAAGTGAGATTTGCGGAAGTGAGTTAAGGTAATCAGGAGCTTAGAGTTCTGATACCATGTTAGAAATTGAAGAACAAAGTGATGAACAAAGTGAAGAACAAGAGAGAGAGAGATAAGAAGGATTCTATTTTTCCTTAATTAAATCAATGTGCCTTACAGCAAAATAAATAGGCAAGATGCCTAAAATAAAAGAGAATTAAAAAAATACAAGTTGGTACACAACGTTCAAATGCACGTGGGGAAGAGCAGAGGTAGAACATTTGAATTTCCCATATGGTCAAGGTCTCCTTCCATCATGGTCAAGCTTTGCACCCATGGTCATCGTATTTGTAGTTGACCATATGGTCAAGCTTGTACCATCGCTCTCCTTCCGTCATGGTCACGCTTGTACCAATGGTCATCGTATTTGAAGTTGACCATATGGTCAAGCTCTTCATGGTCACGCTTGCACCAATGGTCATCTTATTTGTAGTTGACCATATGGTCAAGCTCTAAATGGTCACGCTTGCACCAATGATCACCTTATTTTTATCTTAGTAATTCCTTCATGTCAACAGTTGCTTGTTGTGTCAAGGCAGTTATCCTTTTAAAAAGTGAGATATGATTTATGTAGGGTTTCTAGCTCACTTATGGCTATAATGCTTAATAATTGCTGGTGATATTGTACATATTACCAAATTTTATTTGATTGACAAAGTGCACGTATACAAATAGAATGATAGTGAGGAGATAATATATTTTTTGTTGGAGGACATATTGATCTAGTTTACAAACATTTTATAAGTATTTTACAAAAGTTAATAAATAAATTTCGAAGTTTATAAATCTTTTATAAACTCATCTGAGATTCTTACTCTTGTAAAGTTTTTGAAAACAGTTTTGTTTTGTTCTCGCCGTTTGCATTAGCCCAAATGTATATTCCATTCGTGTGAAGTCTCCTTCTCTCCCGAAGGGTTCAGTGACAACATTGTAGGTGACTATTATCCATGAATGACATCACGTCACTCATTTCCTTTAACGCCCAGTTAACTGACTTTCTATTGCAGAGACGCATGTCTTCGATTCACCTGACTCTTCCTACGCCTTTCTGAGCTCCTCTCGAGCAGCTAAAGCAAGTGACTTTGCCTCCTCTTCCTGTTTGTTAAGTTCTTGCATTATTGGCTATTTATGTGCATCTCTCCTCTCATGCTTCTTCGTTGTTTCTCTGAACTGAAAGAGCATATCTATGTTTGGTTTCTAAGAGATATTTCTTCTCGCTTTCAAGTTCAAACGATGGTCTTGAACGTTTTCACCTTAGAAATTGATCTCCTAATATTGAACTTAACTTCTATAAGCAGAGTTGACTACTCGTTTGTGTGCGAGATCATGAAGGGAGTGTCCAGGTTGTAGTTTATGCATATCCCAGATTCTTGCTTGAAACCATAACCAAAAAAAATCTATTAATCCACAAGTTCAGACAGAACTCAGACAAAAATAGGACTTACAAAATGATTGTTTCCACAGCTAAGAAGAAACTCAGGGTGAACCGGGTTACAGTCAAGGCCAACAACTTTGCTACCTTTCTTGTGTATCAAAATGGGCTCACCAGTTACGTTATTAGACCGATGGTCGATCCTTTTCCACACAAAAAAATACACGAGACACTCAGCAGCAAGCACTACAGAAACAATAGATAGTTCATGGGGATGAGATCACTTACTTGTGAAGCAATCCGAAATTATCAGCAGCTAGAACCAAACCTTTCTCCGAGTTTATATCCAAACCGTACATCATGTTCCAAGTAGTTGAGCCCTATAATAAACCAATGATGTTTAATATCAGTAGAATGGTGCAAGAGAGGAAAAAATTAAAGAAGAGAGTCGATGGTGTTGGATTAGACCTCCCATCCATTGGGGTTGAGATCCAGCAAAGTTGATGAAGTTCCAGTTTCCAGATCAGTATAACAAATTTTTCCATCAGAGGATGCAGAATAAACCATGTCATCATTTGTGGGACTAAACCTATAAAGGAACATAGACACCTGAATACATAAGTAAAATCACAAGAGATTAAGGGACATAGCTATGGACTTACCGCATATTATTAACTTGTACAGAGTGTATGTTTCCATACACACTCTTCTCATACATTTTAGCAGACTCCAATTTGCCCTTTCTTTACAGAAAAAAAACAGTTAGATATTAGAAGCAGAAAAGTCGTAAAATATGAACTTTTTGTTCATTTTTTAAAAAATCCTTATCTCTGGACAGAAGAATGTTATTCCTTGTTGGATGGAACTCCAGACATGTAACACGTCTACTGTGGTATCGAGTAACTGCGCAGTGCACTTGATCCGGGATCACATTCAGTAGTTTAATCTAATATCAAAATACAAAGAAGAGGACGACAGATCATGAAACTATTCTAGGATTTTGTTCCATCCACTGCAAGAGAATAGTTTAGAAATCTGCATGTAATAGGGTTAGTTGGAATTGATGAACATAAAGAAAACCTTTATGGTAAATTCTGAGGAGGAGAAACATTTTGAGGATGGTTTCAGGGAAGCGATGTAAACGACCACAACACCACGAAAGAGAAGGATCAATCTTTCACCTCTCAGTTTTCTAGGGCTCCAGTGTTTGGGCCTAAAGGGCCATACGCGTTAAACAGAACAGATCAACAAAATATAAAAGCCCAACATCATCCTATTCGATATGTGTGACGTGGCAGAACGTAGACTCACTATTGGTCAATTATTTTTGCCTACGTGGATGGTCTAACTGATGCTCATTTGTCCCTTTTAATATTGTAGATAGATCACCTATCTACGAACTATAACCATACACACAAATTTTATACATAAAACCTACAATCCAATCCTTCCGAACCCAAAATAATACTCTGGATATGGGATCAAATTTTTTTTTTTTTTAAAACAACATGAAAACCATTTAAATTCATCATAACTCTTTAATATAGAAACAACTAGGGCCGGCCCGGGCTACGCCCGGGGTTTTATTGAAATTTTAAATATATATGTTGTATGTTATTTTGATATATAAATATTATAATCTATTATAAAATATAGCTAGTTAGACAATTATATAACTATATTTTAATTATTTATTTTTTCTTGTCTTTCGAATTTTAAAAGTTTTAATATCAAAATTTTGTATGTCATTGATTATCAGTATGTGTTTTGTGTAGAATTGTTGTATGTTGTCGCTCCTCTCAACTTTTGTTTCTTTATTTGTTGTGTGTTATTATTTTATTTTCAATTTTTTTTTGTAAAATTTTGTGTGGTTATTTATTACTTATTGTTTACTATTTGAATCTTTTTGATATTTATTCTAATTTTGATCTTATTTACCTAAAAGGGAAAGAAAATTTAGTATGTGAATCTTTTTTTCCTTATGTTTGATGAAACGTAAAGGAAAACAATATGATAATAGATTTTTCGTCTTTCAAAACTTATAGACTTCTTTATTTATTTTGAATATATTTAAGGATTTTTTAAATTTTACTTAACTATTAACTCTTTATTAAAATTATCATTAAACATAGGAAAAAAAATTTCATTAAACTCAAGTTATATTACATAGCATAATTAAATTTTAATTAGTCTATTTTTATATCTTATTAGTTCTTGGTTTTTAAATTATTTTGGTTATGTATTAATTATTAATTATTTAATATCATTTTGTATTCTAGGTTAACCTTAAATTTGGTAGTAAAAGGAACCAAAAATCTATGAGATTCAGTATTTTTATTTTCGTTGGTATAAATCTAATGAAATATATAAAGATTAATAGCGCAAATTGATTATCCTCTTTCTCATAAATTTTATTTATTATAATTAAAAATTTATTTTTTTAATTATATTATATATTTTCACTAAATGATTATTTTCATTATAATTATAATAATTTAATTTATTATAATTATAATTTTTTTTAATAATATTATATATTTTCACTAAATGATTATTTTGTTAACCAAAAGATTAATGTCAATTTTTTGGTTTCGTTAAAAAAAAAATCTTAATTATAATTATTTAGAAGTTATTAAATTGTTTGAAAGCTTCGGTGACTGTATTTAGGGTTCACTTCATGTTTGTGTGAGACATGTTATATGGATCAGTATGATATAATTGTGTATTTTTGCAAGTTCTATTCTCGGGCCTATGGTATTATGTGCTAATTTTTTCTCCAACTTATTCTTAAAAACTATCAATCAAGTGGAAATATATTTACTCTCATTTACTTTTTTATTATTTTTTTAAAAGAGATAAACGCACACTCATCGTTGTGCTAGATATAGTGTATGTATCAATATTTTTTCATTTTCTTTCTCTTTTCCATTTTATTTTTTATGATTATATTTTATCAGAAAAAAAAACTGTGAGATCTTAGTGGCCATTGAAGTGGTGTTATGAGGTGAAAGATTCTGAGGTATGATGATGTTAAGCTAATGACATATTATTTTGTCAGGTTATATGCATGATACTCAAATTTATTTTATCTTTATCTTGTGGGTATTCGTTTCAAGATAATTGATTGTTATTTAGTGTTTACTTTGTCTATAATAAAATGAATGACATGTTCAATTAAACATTTCATCATCTCTATCAAAATTTGATGTCCGTTTATATTTTGGACATATTTATTTTTATCTACTGTCATACATATTTTGTAATATTATATTACTTTTAGTATTATAATGTTTTATGTTTTGTTTGTTTTTTCATAAAAGCAAATAATTATTTTTATGTGTCTGATTATTTTTTATACACAGTAATTGATATAAGTTTAGTGCGTATACAATATCATTTGTAACAACAACATACAATATAATTTATATGGAAATCTTTGTATTTGTTTGATGTGTTTATTCTTTTTTATTTAGTTTGTATTCTGATTTTTTTTTCCTGCATATTTAATGCATATTAATTCCTAATGTGCTACTATTAAAAATCTAGTGATACACACACATAAAAAATATATATTTAAATTTACTGAGTATCTGGTTTTTCTTAAATTATTGAAAATAAGAATAACATTAAATTTCACTATTTAGATTTTTTATTTTATTATATAAGTAATTTCTAACATTTGTAAAAGTTGATAAAATAAAATATCTAAGAATATAAATTATGGATTATTTTCAGCTAATTTATGTGGAAATCTTTGTATTTGTTTGATGTGTTTATTCCTTTTGATTTTGTTTATATTATTATATTTTCCTTGTATATTTAATGCATATTAATTCTTTATGTGCTACTATTAAAAATCTAGTCATACGCACACATAAAAAATATATATATTCAAATTTAGTGAATATCTGATTTTTCTTAATTTATTGAAAATAAGAATAACATTGAATTTCACTATTTAGATTTTTTATTTTATTATATAAGTAATTTCTAACATTTGTCAAAGTTGGTAAAATAAAATATCTAAGAATATAAATTATGGATTATTTTCAGCTGATTTATGTGGGAATCTTTGTATTTGTTTGATGTGTTTATTCCTTTTGATTTTGTTTGTATTCTTATATGTTCCTTGTATATTTAATGCATATTAATTCCTACTATGCTACTATTAAAAATCTAGTCATACGCACACATAAAAAATATATATATATATATATTCAAATTTAATGAATATATGATTTTTCTTAATTTATTGAAAATAAGAATAACATTAAATTTAACTATTTATATTTTGTTATTTTATTAATAAAATTTCATTTCACTATTTATATTTTTTTATTTTATTATATTAGTAATTTCTAACATTTGTCAATGTTTATAAAATAAAATATCTAAGAATATAAATTATGGATTATTTTCAGCCTTATATATTTTTTTAGTTCATTGATACTATGATTTTTTAATATATTTTTATCTCAAAATAAAAAAGTTCATACTTCTTCAAAAGAATTGATAAATGCATTCAAATAAAGAAAACTTTTGTTAACATTAAACATCATTTTTTGTAATAATAAATTTGCATGGCATGTGTCATTTTTTTCTCATCCTATTTAGTGACATGGCATCACAAGAGGGAAGAAAACTCTTCTTTATATAATAAGATTATTGTAAACAAGAAAAATATATCTTATCCATATAATTCTTTCTCACCTAAAATTTTCTAAAATACAAAAATCATCATCATAAACATCTTTTACAAATGCAAACTCAAACCACAAAATCATATAAAAATAATAATCTAAATTTTGATCCCCAAAAAAATACCTTAAACTATAAGTAAAGTATATCCCGTCCCTAGGGCGGGCTGGTCCTAGTATAATTATATAACTGAGTGAAATATTTGTTATCCTTTCTAATTAACAATTATGTAGACAAAATGTACTCTATCACCCTCATATATATTAAGAAATTGACAAATTCAAATTCATCAATAAATGTTTGATTTTTTTTTTTTTGTAAATAAGTGGTAAAAAGATTTTGTAGGTAGGTTTAAACAAAGCATGGCTATGTTCAAGACTTCAAGTTGTATGATCTTGTAGATAGGTTGAAAAAGGTTGTTCGAGAAATTTAGATATATAGGGTTAAACACGAGGATCTAACTAATCCTTCATAAACATGCATGATGCAAAAGAAAACATGATGTGATCAATATCTTAATTATACGGATAGTCAGTTTTTATACGAATATGGGAGAACGTTTTTTTTTTTACTTTATTTTGGTCAAGATACTATGTTGAAAATTGTAAAAAGGCTATAGCATTATTGTTTCGGAAACACAAATAAAATGCATGGATCAATTAAAAGTTAAAATATTTTTGCATTGAGATCAAACATTGAAAATATTAGGGATGCAATTATAGGGTTTAGGAAGATTAGACAAACTTGAGATCTGAGTGTTTAACTGTTTTATCGACATCCTAAACCATTGTCGCATCGGCCAAAGAGCACTCAGTCTTGTGCATTATTAAAATGGAGTATGCTTCTTTTGCCTTTCCCAATAGGCGTTAGAATCTTCTCTAGTTGTATTCGAAAGATTTATTNAGGGTTTAGGAAGATTAGACAAACTTGAGATCTGAGTGTTTAACTGTTTTATCGACATCCTAAACCATTGTCGCATCGGCCAAAGAGCACTCAGTCTTGTGCATTATTAAAATGGAGTATGCTTCTTTTGCCTTTCCCAATAGGCGTTAGAATCTTCTCTAGTTGTATTCGAAAGATTTATTTTATTCATTTGGGTCACCTGTATCAATTTGTGTAATTTGTTAAGAGGCACACTGGGGAAATCGGCCAATTCATACTTCAATAGAGGGTTGCGGTCCCGATCAGTACATCAATTCGGAACCTGTGCTAAAACATATATCAACACATAATATATTTTAATTTCATACATCAACTAAAAAAAATTGGTTTTTACATACATTGACCAATAATCTGTTAGTCAAATATAACGAAATCTGAACTGTCCGTTACATAATGATTACGTGTCATTTTATATTTTAAATAATTAATAAAAAATAAATTTTTGAAATGTGTTGGGGGAGGCTCGAACCTGGGTCTAGACAAAAAAACATTGGATCCATAAACCACTGT